TCACAAGATAATGTCATCACTTAAGGCAAGGACCGGTCATTTACACTTCTTTTGTGGTGGAATGTCATCAGTTAAGGCAGGGCAGGGCATTTGCACTTCTTGTGATTCTTCAGTTACTTCAGGCCATCTGGGCGTATACCCTCCACTGTAAGAGTTATCCAAAGCGTCTGTGATAGTCCAGGAGGCTTCCGAGGCGATGGGACAGCGTCAATCTTCAGCCGCCAATTTAAAATTGCTGAGATGTTCCTTGGGCTGGTTGGTCTGAGGACCAGAGGTCGTAGGTGGATCTTTCTCACAGAGCAAAGGGCAGGAGGACAAGGGATTGATGTCCCAAGGGAGGTCCCCTGATCCGAGTCATGGCACCAAAATGACATGCGCATCTGTGTGAAGAGACCACCAAACAGGCTTTGTGTGAGCAACATGGCTGTTTATTTCACCTGGGTGCAGGCGGGCTGAGTCCGAAAAGAGAGTCCGCTCTTATGTTTTTATCCAATTTGCCTATTTCCGTATACTATTTGGTGAATTTAACATTTATTGTGATATTATATTAGTACTTTTTTCACCATCCCACTTTGTATATTCTATTTGTTCCATTTTTCTGTGCTTTACCCTCCTTAGTGCTCTACCCTCCTTAGTGCTCTTCCTTCCCCACCTTTCTCTTTTGTGCTTGCTTGGTGTTTTTTGTTTTTTATTAATCAATTGCTACCTTCAATTGTTTTGGAAGTGACACACTTTTATTTCCATTCTTTTGTTGATTACCCTTTTAACCATCTAGAACATAGTACAAACATTTTATGTAACATAGCGTTAATATTTAATCTTCCTCTTGAACAATTTAAGAACTTTATTTATTTTTATTTTTATTTTTTTGAGACGGAGTCTTGCTCTGTCACCCAGGCTGGAGTAAAGTGGCCGCATCTCAGCTCACTGCAAGCTCCGCTTCCCGGGTTTATGCCATTCTCTTGCCTCAGCCTCCCGAGTAACTGGGACTACAGGCGCCCGCCCCCTTGCCCGGCTAGTTTTTTTGTATTTTTTAGTAGAGACGGGGTTTCACCGGGTTAGCCAGGATGGTCTCGATCTCCTGACCTTGTGATCCACCCGTCTCGGCCTCCCAAAGTGCTGGGATTACAGGCTTAAGAACTTTAGAATATATTAACTCCAGCTATCCCCTTTAATTTACATGCTGCATGCTGTTGTTACTCCATATTTCAGTTAGGCCTTTAAAAATTAACCTACAATGGAAACTTCTTGGTCAAATTGTAACTAGCTAGTATTGTATTTATATACAGGGTCTTTTTTCTTTACCTATGTATTTTTCTACTCATAGCCAACCAATAAATTCAATATCTGTTTAAAAAAATTAACCCACAAAATAGATATTATTGTTATTTTAATAATATGTAGACACGCCTGTAATCCCAGCACTTTGGGAGGCCGAGGCAGGTGGATCACTTGAGGTTGGGAGTTTGAGACCAGCCTGGCTAGCACAGTGAAACCCCATCTCTACTAAAAATTCAAAAATTAGCTGAGCATGGTGGCATGTGCCTGTAATCTCAGCTACTTGGGAGGCTGAGGCAGAAGAATCATTTGAACCTGGGAGGTGGAGGTAGCAGTAAGCCAAGATTCTGCCACCGCAGTCCAGTCTGGGTGACAGAGTAAGACTCGGTCTCAAAAAAAAAAAAAATAATAATAATAATAATATGTAGACAGAATGTGTTTAGACTTATCTACATTTTCGCAATTGCCTCACTATTCCTTCTTGCTTGTTGATTCTTCCGTTTAGGATCATTTTCCTTCTTCCTAAAGTAAATGCTTTATATATTCTTTTAGAGAAGGTTTGTTGATGGTAAAATCTGTTTTTGTTTTCTTGAAAATGCCTTTATTGGCCGGGCGCAGTGGCTCAAGCCTGTAATCCCAGCACTTTGGGAGGCCGAGACGGGCGGATCACGAGGTCAGGAGATCGAGACCATCCTGGCTAACACGGTGAAATCCCATCTCTACTTAAAAAAATACAAAAAACTAGCTGGGCGAGGTGGTGGGCGCCTGTAGTCCCAGCTACTCAGGAGGCTGAGGCAGGAGAATGGCATAAACCCGGGAAGCGGAGCTTGCAGTGAGCTGAGATGCGGCCACTTTACTCCAGCCTGGGTGACAGAGCGAGACTCCATCTCAAAAAAAAAAAAAAAAAAAAAAAAAAAAAGCCTTTATTCTTGAAAGATAGTTTTGTAGGGTTCACAATCCTTGATTGATTGTTATCTTTTGGCATGCTGGAGATATACTTCCACTGACTTCTAGCTCCTTTATTGCTGTGGGAAAGCCTGTTGTCAGTCTAATTGTGGTAGATGTGTGGTACTGTGGGTGGTCTGGGTTTTCTTTCTCCTGCTGTAAAGAGTTTCTTATTGTCTTTGGTGTTCTGCAGTTTCATTATAATGTACATAGGTGTGGATTTATTCTAATTTTTCCACCTTGGTTGTATATGTGTACACTATGGTGGTGTATGTTCTGTGGATTCACACCTTTCATCAGTTCTGGAACATTCTCAGCTCTTACCTCTTTGGATATTGTCTCTCTCTCATTGTCTTGATTTTTTCTTTCTGGGACTCTGGATATGTTAGAGTTTACCATTCTAGGCTTCATTGCTCCTGGCCTTGTTTTCATAGTTTTAATCTCCTTATCTCTGTCTGCTGTTAAGCCTAGTCACTTCTTCAGCTTATCTTCCAGTTCATTTGTTCTCTCTTAATTGGTGTTTTAAATGTTATTTACCCCATCCACTTAGTTTTTTATTTTTATAATTATAATTTTTATTTCTAAAAGCTCTATTTGGTTCTTTTTCAAATCTGCCTGTTATTTTTGCTTGATTATTAAGATACCCATTTTTAACAGAAAATAACAAGTGTTGGCGGGGATATGGAGAAATAGTAACTCCTGTAAACTGTTGATGGGAATGTAAAATGGTGCAGTCTCTGTGGAAAGCAATATATCGGTTCCTCAAAAAATTCAAAATAGAATTACCATATGATCCAGCAATTCCACTTCTGGGAATATACCCAAGAGAATTGAAAGCAGGGCCTCAAAGAGATATTTGCACACCCATGTTCATAGCAGCATTATTCACAACAGCCAAAAGATAGAAGTAACCTGAATGTTCATCAGTGGATGAATGGACAAACAAAATATGGTATAAACAATATAATATTATTCAGTCTAAAAAGGGAGGAAATTCTGACACATGCTACAACATGGGTGAAACTTGAAGACACAATGTGAAGTGAAATAAAACAAGCCCAAAAAGACAAATACTGCATGACTTCACTTAAATGAGGTGCCCAGAGTAATCCAGTTCACAGAGACGGAAAGCACAATGGCAGTTGCCGGAGATTGGGAGGAGGTACCCAGAGTAATCCAGTTCACAGAGACGGAAAGCACAATGGCAGTTGCCGGAGATTGGGAGGAGGGGAAATGGAGAGTTGTTTGATGAGTACTGAGTTTCTATTCTGGAGATGGATGGTGTGATGACGGCACAACAATGTGAATGTACATAACACCACTGAACTATACACGTAAAAATGGTTAAGATGGCAACTTGTGTTATGTGCATTTGACCACAGTTAAACATATTTTTAAAATGTGGAACTAGTATTCATTTTTTATTTAAATATTTTATAAATTATCATATTGGTATAGTGTGGTAGTTTACAGCAAGACTCTGTATTCCAAGTGCTCATGTTCAACTTACAGTCTATAACCTCAGGCAAGGAGCTTAACCCCATTGTGCCTTAGTTTTTTTAATCCATCAAGTGAGGATAAGAATAATACCTATCTCATAGATTTCTGTGAGTATTAAATGAATCAGTACATGATGAAGCACTTGCAGTAGTGTCTGGCACATACAAATACTCTGTAAATATTGCTTATTATTATAAGTCTCTAATTTCTGACATCTGAAGCCTTTGGGGTTCTAAATTAGTTTGTTTTTTTATGCTGCCCACTTAAGATGTTTTTTATTTTTCAACATCTTTGATCTTTGATTGTGAGTTCATATTTGGAGGATCTTTGGGAATCCTGAGGCTCTAAATTTGAGATATTTTCCTCCAGACCATCTGCAATTTGAGACCACCTTTACTGCCATCAGTTATCTCTGCTTCATGTAGGAGCCCTGGTTCAGCTCCCTTGTCTGCAGCGTGTCCAGGTTTAGCTCCGCTGCCATGCTCCTCCATATAGGTCTCAACCCAAGATTTTAGTTTATTGCTCCCAGATCATCACCTTAGTTTCCGCTCACAGTTCTGATAGTTTTGTTTTACTTTGTTTTGTTTTCTGGGTTTCTATTTTCTTTGTTTTTGGCATTTGAGAAATTCTGTTGTTTCCTAAGAACCTAGTACAATATGAACAAGTATATTTCATCTAGGATCTGACTTAACTATAGCAAGAGAGTCCTCAGAAAACCCAGGCTTTCACTCAGCTGCCAAAAAAGTCCATGGGGCTTAATTCTTTGACCATTTTGAGTGCAGGGACTTATTCATGCTTACATCCTCACAACCCAGCTTGGGAACTGCCTCATACCTGGCAGCTGATCCCTTTTGTTTTTTAAATGTAAGAAGCCACACTGAGGGCTCTCCGGGTGGAAAAAGTTAGGACACAGGATCAGCATTTCTTTCCAGCCACTTGGGCATCCCTGATCGAATGTCACCCTTGACTGCCTAACTCATCTCCTTCCCAAGACATAGGTTATCCCTGGCTCCTGGCTGATGATCACAGGCAGGGAGGGAGGGAAAGAAGCAAAGGGAGAAGGCCCTGTGTAGGAAGGAAACTTGCTCACCCTGGCTTCTCTAATCTGCAGCTCACTCTTGCTGCCACTCAGCAGATCTGGTCTCCCTAACTCTTTTTTCCCCTGCCTCTACTTTGAGACTCAATTGCTTCCCCAGAACTTTTTTTCTCCCCAAGTCAAAGAATGAAGGTTCAATGGTCCCAGCTCAGTTCTTATCAAGCATTCCAGCTAGCCTATGCCAGAGATGTCACACAGCTCTTTAATAATAGTGGCCATAGCTGTAATAACAATAACAACAGTCGGTAACAGTAATCACACCAACAGTAGGGCAGTGCGTTTTATATTACAACTGGTTTCTTGCTCCAGTAGGCTTGGGGATGGGTGAAGACGGACAGGGCTGGCACAGACCCTTTCCTCCTCCTCTCCAGCCCACAGTGATCTGGGCTTTCACAAGACAGCCTACTTCCATTCAGTAGTGTGGGAAAGTTCCTTCTCGGCTTAGCAATACCCCTGAGACCTTGGCCTGCAGTCTGGCGTGTTCAGTGGGCCGCATCTCTCCCTGGGATGCTGGGAGCACCAAGTGTGGCTGAGCTTGGGCTGCTGACTTCCTCTGGGCGCCTCTGGGCTGTGAGGGTCTCTTACAGGAATTGAGGCCCTTTGCTGCTCCAAGAAATGCTGAGGTTGTGGGCAGAGGGGTGTACCCAAGGGGGCTCTTGCTCTGTGTCTGACTTTGGGGGATCTCCAGGTGGGCAGGGCAGGAAGGAAGCAGCTCCCAGCACTGCAAAGGGGCAGCAGCATTACAGTTCAGCCTAGAATAAGAGAGACCGATGAAGAGAAATTCAGATTATTTGAAACTGGACAAAGTGGTGACATGTGCAAAATGAGTCTTCCTTTTCTGAGGCATTTTGCTTCTCTCCCTACCCTGCAGAGGACCAGGAGGTCTCATGAGCCTTTCCACTCTCTTCCTTATCAGAATCTTCTCACTAGAAAGGATCTGATAGTCTCATTCTGTCAGAAAAGAGAAAGAAAGGCTTGGTGTGTTCTATTCCCTAAGGTATTTGCATTTAACAGAAATCTCTGACCTAAGGAATTTCAGCCTTAATAGTGCAATCTCAGGCTGTCCCTTGCTTGGAGGGAAAGTTATTTGGGATGTAAAGAGTTGTCAGAGCCATTTAAATCAAACCTAAGGATGGATTGGCACCTCCCAGGTAGAGGACTAGAGGGAAGGCACAGTGGGTACGGCAAAGGTGCCTTACCTTCCGGACATTGTAGATCCAGTTAAGATAGGCTGAGACCTTGGTGTACACTCCTGGGGTGCTCGGGTCCCCACAGCCATAGCCCCAGCTAACGATGCCCACCACCTGCCACTGGTCAGATTGGTACATCAGGGGTCCACCACTGTCACCCTGTGAGAGACCAGAACAGAGACTGCTGGGGAGGGCAGGTGAAGAGGGGGGGCTTCTCCTTCCCAGCTTCCTGAACTGGCCTGTCTGTTCCCCTGAACTCCCTGCTGCTCCCCGATGTTCCACCCTCACCCTCTTTGCTCATTAGCACCCTGGAATGCTCTTCTCTTCTGGGGCAGAAGGGCTTGTCTGTGGGCAAGTAAGTTGCAAGCGTGCTGTTAGCCTTCTCTCAGAGATTCACAGCTCACATTAGCAAATTAAAGGCTCTGAGAGATGCTGTAAAAAAAGTCTGGTTATTGGCCAGGCGCAGTGGCTCTCGCCTGTAATCCCAGCATCTTGGGAGACTGAGGCGGGTGAATCACTCGAGGTCAGGAGTTCGAGACCAGCCTGGCCAACATGGTGAAACCCTGTCTTTACTAAAAATACAAAAATTAGCTGGGCATAGTGGCAGGCGCCTGTAATCCCAGCTGCTCAGGAGGCTGAGGTGGAGAATCACTCGGACCAAGGGGCGGAGGCTGCAGTGAGCTGAGATCAAACCGCTGCACTCTAGCCTGGGCAACAGAATGAGACTCAGTCTCAGAAAAAAAAAGCCTGGTTATCATTGTTTAACCTAGTAGTTCCAAAATTTATTTAATTACTTATAGAGTGCCTATTTTGTGCCAGGTAGTGTTCTAAGCAATTGGGATCCAACTGATAAAAAAACCCAAAAGATCCCTGCCCTCAGAAAGCTTAGGATCAAATAGGGTGAGAGACAGTGAACAAGCAAATAACAAAACAAGAAAATGCCAGATAGTGAAAAGTGCACTTATCTCGGAGTCCTTATCAGCTCCTTTAGCCCCTGGGGCTTCCTCCCTCTGAACCCAAAACTAGCCTAAATGCCTGTTTAATGCTACCCCCTTTCTCCCAACCACTGTGAGATCCCTGAGGGGTCTCCAAAGACTACCATGTTCATGGTACACAAGCGATGACTAAGAGATGCCTCTTAAGTGAAGGAATTTAATGACTGGAAATGGAGGTGAGAGTAGGGTAGGGGTTTTAATGAAAATGGTTCAGGCGAAGCACGATGGCTCATGGGAAAATCCCTTGAACCCAGGAGTTTGAGACCAGATTGGTGCAACACAGTGACCCTGTCTCTATTAAAAAACATAAAAGAAAAAATAAAAAAAAAAGAAAATGGTTCAGACGATCCTCTGGAAGTATGGGGGAGGAAGAAGGTCTACAGGGATTGCTAAACAGTCCTGATGGCCAATGAGGCCAGGGTGAGGGGCACGCACGGGGGCTCTTCCAGCATCCTGCAGGTGGTAGTTCTTTCCTAGTGTAGTTCAGCAGCTTGGGGACAATCACAGAGAAAATAGACCTGGGATTCCTGACCTCAAGGGGCTAATCATTCCGTAGCTAGTGAGAAGAGCGGGTGGGGAGGAGGAGTAATGTAATCTTTGTTGTTGTTGTTTTTAGATGGAGTCTTGCTGGGTCACCCAGGCTGGAGTGCAGTGGCGCAATCTTGGCTCACTGTAACCTCTGCCTCCTGGGTTCAAGCAATTCTCCTGCCTCAACCTCTCAAGTAGCTGGGGTTACAGGTGCGCCACCATACCCGTCTAATTTTTGTATTCTTTTTAGCAGGGATGGGGTTTTACCATGTTGGCCAGGCTGGTCTTGAATTCCTGACCTCAAATCACCTGACCTGCCCGCCTCACCCTCCTAAAGTGCTGGGATTACAAACGTGAGCCACCACACCCAGCCGGTAACATCATCTTTGAATGTGAAAGAGATTCTCTGATTGTCTGCATCCATCCATCCACCCACTCATCTATTCATACATCTTTATCTGACTGTATCCTTTCCTTCCCTCCCTTTCTTCCTCCCATAATCACACATTGAGTGCCCGTGATATGCAAGGCTTCCTGTGGGGCATGCAGCCTCTGGGTTTTCTCATCTCTCTAGAACCTAAACCCTATTCCTAGAACTCCCCATGATTCTTGGAGGCCCCACCTGGCAGGTGTCCACACCCCCTTCCGGGATGCCTGCACACACCATCTTCTCGGTGACTTCCCCCTGGTACGCATCGTCTGCATTGCACCGTATGCTGTCAATGACCTGGACTGACGCCTGCAGCAGTATGTCAGACATCTTCCCTGGGAGGGTAAAAACACATTCCCATGCATGCCTTCTATCCCCCAGCCCTGGATTGCCAAACCACTTTGCTTTCTGCCTGGCGCCTTGGTGCTTGGTCCTCTGGGATGGGTTTCTCTGAAGGGTGGTCCTCCTTTCCATCACTTCTGGAAGCTGCTCCCTCATACATGGGCATCTCCTGCCCTGGGGTCCTGCACCCAGGACTTACCTCCCTTTTGCTTTGTAAAGCCCCATCCAATGATCCAGAGTGGGGTGGCTGGAGTGAGCTCCTCATCAGAGAAGGGCAGGCAGATGGGCCTGACAGTGCCTGCCAGGAGCACAGAGGAAGAAGGAGATCTTTTATTCATCATAATTGTTAATTTTCTGTAAATTATGATGCTTTATGATTATGGGGATCTTGCTGGTCTGGGAGAGACTGGGTTAGCTAATTCCTGCAGATAGTAAGCAACTTGGCTCTGGGCATGCCTTTAATAGGCAAACCAGCCAACCCAAAGCCCGTATCCCCAACCATTTCCTTTATCTGACTCTCAGACACCAAGCCAATATTTTCTCTGCCCTAAATCACCCCAGGGACAGATACTAGACAACCAGAGGCTGACCTCTATAGCCTAGAGAATTGTCCACACTATCCAATCCCAAGCATGCTCAATCTTGCCTTCCCTACCTTGGCCAGACCTGCCCATGGAAGCCACGGGTGGTTCTGGGCCATGCCTTCCCCTCACTCCTGTCTCCTGGTGGACCCAGCTGCTCCCCAGGTGTCCCTGTGTTGTGGGGGTTTCTCTCAGAAGCTAGAAATAATAAACTCTTCTTTCAAAGTTAGTTGTGTCTGTATCTGTCACCTTACCATACCTGATTAAAACAATTCCCAGGCACAAATCTTGAAACATACCCAAGGGTTCAGGAGAGCCTGGCAGTTAAGCTCTCTGAAAGGGGTCACACCAGGGTCTCTAGAACACTTGTTCCATGGGATGCTAGTAGAAGTGGCATGAAAAAAGGATTCTGTGGTCAAATAAATTTAGAAAATTTATGCAATAAAACAGATTATTTAAAAAATTTCTCATACCTTTAATAAACTAATGTGCTCCAAGAAGGGAGCTGTAGTATTAAAATGCTTCCCAAACTTATTTGACAATGGAATCCTCTCCTCTCCAAGGGGCCAGTGTCTTGTGGACCCCACGGTTGGGAATGCTGATCTAAATACATTTCAATATAAGCACAAGGCATCCAACAGAGCTGTTCAAAGACTCCGCAGGCTGCTTCACAGATAATGGGTTCCCTGCCCCTGGAGGAGAGCAAACAGGAGCACAATGACTCCTTGGCAGGGATACTGAGCAGGCTCTCGGGTATTGGTCAGTGGTGGGGAATGGGCTCGATAATCTTTTTAAAAGGTCTCCTAAAACTCCAAGATCAGATGAAACTCCAGTTCTCCATTGAGGGGCTCCACATAGGGAAGACAGGCCTTGGAAGAATCTCCAGTATGGAATGGAGTGGAGGTGTTAGCTGACAGCTTGAGGAGGCCTCATGGCATCAGTGATGTTAGGCTGACATATTAGTTACAGACAAATGGGCAAGCTGAGGTCTTGAGAGGAGAAATTATGTGCCAAGGTCACTCAGTGAGCTAACAGCAGAGTGGATGTGAAAACTGATGGAAGGGGCTTGGGTGGCCTCAGGCCCTGCTTCTCACCTGAGAAAGTGAGTGGGAGCTGCAGCTTCATGAGGGCGATGTCATTGTCTTTGGGGTACATGGGGTTGAATTCAATGATGATGATCTTGGCCACAGCCAGGGATGGGAAACTGCCCAGTTTGTCTGAGCCCGCCCGCACCTTCCAGTTGAACACATCGGTATGTTTCCTGGGGGCAGAGACAGCTGGGCTCAGGCCTGATCCAAGCCTGAGGAGGCTTTGCCAAAGGCTGGGTCCCCAGGGCCCTGGGGATTGGTGTACTGGGTATCACTGCCTTGGGAGGGAAAGATGGTGGTGGCGCAGGGATAGTAGAGAAGGGGCAGTCTTTTGGCACTTACAAGAAGTCGAATTCAAAAAGGGGATTTGACACTTTTTCCTTAGTGAAACCTGCCCAAGGAAATCTCAAGGAGGGCTGGGAAACGGGCTCCTCTAATGCCTGAGTTTTGGGGTCCTGGCGCTCTCTCCTCCAACCCTTTTCATTGTGTTACTCATGCTGTCAGTTACATTATGTGCTTTCTTTTTCCCAATGCCAGGCACAGCTTAGTGTGCAGAGATGTTTTTCTAAGAAAGAATTTACAGCTTTTGCCAGAATCTCAAAAAAATAAACAACAACAACAAAATGGTTAAGAAACGCTGGCCTAGATCATGAGTGCCTTGAAGACAGCAGTGGGGTCTAATACACTTGGGCGCATCATCTGCTGCTTGGTACCTGGTAGGTGCTCATTAGATATTGAATGAATGAATGAATAAAAGTGAAGGGGGGTGGGACATGGTGGCTTACACCTGTAATCCCAGCACTTTGGGAGGCCGAGGTGGGCGGATCACTAGAGGTCAGGAGTTTGAGATCAGCCTGGCCAACATGGTGAAACCCTGTCTCTACTAAAAATACAAAAATTAGCCTGGCATGGTGGCACATGCCTACAGTTCCAGCTACTTGGGAGGCTGAGGCAAGAGAATTGTTTGAACCCGGGAGACGGAGGTTGCAGTGAGCCAAGATTGCACCATTGCACTCCAGCCTAGGCGACAGAGCAAGACTCTGTCTCAAAATAAATAAATAAATAAATAAAAAGTGAAGGGGGCCTGGGAGTGGCCCTTCCCCAAGGTGAGGCCAGGCCTCTCTGTGGACTGAAAAGGAACCTATGCTTTTTAATTTTTTTACAGTTTCCAGACATAATGAGGAAGTGGCTATGATTCTAGACCCTGGAACAACTTCCTGGAAACAAGCAAAAAGAGTGAGTTCTTGGAACTTCAGGCAGGTGAGAAGAGCTTTTGTGGCTTGAACGATATGGGGGTGGGATGAGGACTCTGGGTATCTGATGGTGTCCCACCAGGAAGAGGCCATGCTTGGTGACCCGTACCCTCTGCTCAGACACCCAAATGCCTAACAAAGGGCATCATGGCCATTGTTTCATTGGGGCCACCACACCCTGGCAAACGTCTCTAGTCGGAGAGTGAAGAGAAGGAGGGTGTCAGGAGACAGGACTCCAAGCTCTCTGGCCCCTGACTGGCCTTGGTTCCCAGAGACCTCCTTACAGCTGGGGCCTTACCTGAAGCAATGCGCTGCTGTGAGGACCCAGTGGGGGTCCAGGATGCTCCCTCCACAGACGTGCTGTTTGTCGTACTGGATGCTGACCTGCCAAGGCCAAGAATCCACAGAGGCCTCCTCCCCGCCCACCACACGGGGGGTTTTCAGGCTCTCCCCACAGGCTGGACACAGGCAGAGGCAGGAAGTCAGGCTTTTGGGGATGAGGCTGCCTCCCCTCAGTACCCAACATGTGCTCTAAGCAGGGACCTTCTGGCTGGGGCCAGAGTGGAGAGAGGACCAGGCCAGTTGGAGTTATTCATGGGAGGTACTGAGTGTCCCAGATCATAGCCTTTCCCCAAACCTCCCTCTCCTTTTTCTTTTTCTTTCTTTCTTTTTTTGGTTTAAGATGTGTTCAGGAGGTTAGACTACGGACACGAGTGTGTCCGTTGTGCTGGGAATTTGTGACCTTCCCAAGTGATGCAGAATTACCAAAGCCCTGCCCAGGTGGCGTGTCCCCAGCCACTCCCACTGAGTAACAGTAAACAGACACCCACAAGCTGTTTTGTGACTCGGAAGTGGACTGTCCCAAACTCCTCCTTCTCCAAGTCTGTTCCCCTTGCCAGGGGAGTCTCTCAATCTAACATCCTGTCTTCCTATTGACTGACCTGACTTTCACGTCCCCCGACCCCTGGAACTCCAGTAAAGCCCTCAGGTCCCACCTCTCCACCCGTGCTCTGCCTCTTCAGTTCTTCTGGCAGCCACCACCATGGTGGCCATTCTAAAGGAAAAGGTTGCTTCCTTTCCTGTGTGTCAGGCGCCGTGCTGGGCTGGAGCTTTTCAAACACTGTTTTCTCCATGCCACCTTGCCCGCTCCCCCAAAGCCCTTCAGGAGCTCCCTTGAGGGCAAAGTAGAGTTTCCATTCCTCCTGGCAGCCTCCTGCTGTTTCATATAAAGTCTCTGTCTAGCCAAATTGATCTGCTTGTAGTTCTCTAAAAAGTCATTCTGTTTTTGATCCAAAAAGATGCCCTTCCCATTGAAATGCTGTCTCCTCTCCTAGTTCTCGAAATCAGGGATCCCCAAACCCTAACCCCCAGACCTCAAACCAGCACTGGTCCGTGGCCTGTTAGGAACCTGGCTGCACATTAGGAAGTGAGCGGCAGGGGCAAGTGAGCATGACCACCTGAGCTTCACCTCCTGTCAGATCAGAGGTGGCATTAGATTCTGTAGGAGCACAAACCTTATTGTGAACAGCACATGTGAGGGGTCTATGCTGTGCGTTCCTCATGAGAATCTAGGCTAGGTGTGGCGGCTCACGTCTGGAATCCCAGCACTTTGGGAGGCTCAGGCGGGCAGATCAGCTGAGGTCAGGAGTTCGAGACCAGCCTGGCCAACATGGTGAAATGCTGTCTCTACTAAAAATACAAAAATTAGCCAGGCGTGGTGGCACATGCCTATAGTCCCAGCTGGGCTGGTGGCGGGCACCTGTAGTCCCAGCTATTTAGGAGGCTGAGGCAGGAGAATTGCTTGAATCCAGGAGGCGGAGGTTGCAGTGAGCCGAGATCGCAACACTGGACTCCAGGCTGAGTGACAAGAGCGAGACTCAGTCTCAAAAAAAAAAAAAAAAAGAGAGAATCTAATGCTTTCTATCCCCCTTTTGGTTTGTGGAAAAATTGTCTCCCATGCAACAAGCCCCTGGTGCCAAAAAGGTTGGGGACCACTGAATTCTAGATCATTCATTAATCTAACCAATTTGTGTCAAGTGCCCTGTCTTGGGGCAGTGCTGGGTGCTGGGAGAGAGTGGCGGGCAAGACAGACAACATGGGCTTTTCCTCCTTGAACCTACAGATGCATTTTTCAGTGTTTAGCCTGGGACCCCAGTCCCTGGGAATTTCCCTTTCTCTGGCATTCCCATAGGCTATTCTGGGTGTTGGCCACCCTTTCAGTGTTGTTGAGTTTAGGTCTTGTTTTCTTGGTAAAACAGAGGCCCCACAAGGGAGGACCTGTCCCTTATGCTCCTTCATGCCTTCAGGGCTACTCAGTGTAGAACCTTAGATGGTTTGGCCATTTGTTCATTCATTCATTGACCAACCACCACGTGTCAGATCCCACACACTAGGTATTGTGGGGTCGGAGTGGGGGGCACGTGATAATGAATGAAACTCTCAACATCCTGCAGGGAAGCATACACACTCCTAAATTGCAGAGGCAGCATTGTGACCTTCTTCCCTTAGGTGTTCTAATTTCTGGCTATCCTTCCAGACCAGTCTCAGTTCTCTGTGAAGCTGGTAGGATGAGATGAGCCACAGTGCTTGTTTTCTTCTCTGATCTCCTCTGTTAGAGCTAGAAGGGTCCCTAGAGATCCTTGATGGGCAGTTGGACTAAACAACCTCTTGGGAAAATGAACTTCAGGAAGGTCAGGTGAATGACTCAAGGCCACACTGGAAGTGAATGGGACTGGTGCCCAGGTCTTCTGACCCCTGTCCAGCTCTCTCTGCAGCATGTCCACTGTGACTGCTACTCAGTTTGGCATTTTCCACATGCTGTCTTGCATCTCTTTCTTACTGAGTCATAAGCTACTGAGGATAGTGGCCAATTATTTCACTCATCTGGTACTTTCTACTTCTAGCCAACAACTGACAGAATGAGACATATTCTAACTGTTCAATGAATATTTGCTCAAATAATGAATGTGGGTAATCTGATCTTGGATACCTGAGCTGATTGTGACAAAGAAGGCTATGTAGGTCCTGACCAGGGGAGGGGAGGCAGTGGAGGACCCGTCCTGCCCTTTTCAGTCTTCCTAACGCTCTCTCCCAGGTCTCCACTTAGGTTGTGGAGTCATGCACAGATGGTGGAAGGGGGAAACTGAGGCTTGGAAAGACCCAGAAAAAGAAAGTGACCTGCGCAAGGCCACCAACAACTCGAGGGGGCATTGACCTGCAAGCCCAAGGGCTGTAGACAAAGGCAGAATGAAACTTGGAGTCCCAGAAATTTAGGAGTGAAGATGAAGGTCTTCCTCCTTGCTCATTGCTGGCCCAGGCCCAAACCCTCAGAGATCAGGGGGTACTCACCAAGACAGTGCAGGGAGACCAGGGAGCCTGAGAGACAGGGCCTGGAAGACAGACACAGCACCCTGTGATTTAAGCTTCTTGCTCAGCTGGGAGGTAGGGACTTAAGCCTCCCAATGCTATTAATTCAAGTCCCCTCCCAATACCTGGGGAATGTGGAAACTGTACAGTGGGGAACATGTGGAGAATGCATTGACATCCATTGCATTTCCTGCATTGACACTTCCATTTGATTGGATTCAACACCCCCACTGCTGAGTACCCATGGTGCACTAGGCCCTGCCTGCTTCAAAGCCCAGCTTGGGCTCCTGGGACCTAAGAGGGAAGAAGGCAGATCCCAGAACAGAGTCTGTGGCACTGTGGACTTTAAAAATGGAGGAATGGGATTTTGATGGAATTTTAGGCAAAGGATCATTCTGGACCAACCCTGTCCATTTCAAGATTTACTTTCAGTGAATGAAGGGGACCAGCCCCTTCACCACCTGTGGGCATTTCTCGTCAGGTGGAACGAGAGACTTGAGAAAAGAAAGGGACACAGAGACAAAGTAGAGAGAAAGAAAAGTGGGCCCAGAGGACTGGGGCTCAGCATAAGACTCAGCATACGGAGGACCCGCACCACCTGCACTGGTCTCTTGAGTTCCCTCAGTATTTATTGATCTTTACCATCTCGGAGAGGAGGATATGGCAGGACAATAGGGTAATAGTGGGGAGAGGGTCAGCAGGAAAACATGTGAACAAATGTCTCTGTGTGATAAACAAGGTTAAGAAAAGGTGCTGTGCTTTGATATGCACATACATAACATCTTGGTGCATTAAAGAGCAGTATTGCCACCAGCAAGTCTCACCTCCAGCCTAAGGCAGTTTTCTCCTATCTCAGTAAATAGAACATACAATCGGTTTTACACCGAGACATTCCATTGCCCAGGGACAGCAGGAGACAGATGCCTTCCTCTTCTCTCAACTGCAAAGAGGCCTTCCTCTTTTACTAATCCTCCTCAGCAAAGACCCTTTACTGGTGTCTGGGCTGGGGGATGGTCATGTCTTTCCCTACCCACGAGGCCATATCTCAGACTATCACAGGGGGAGAAACCTTGGACAATACCTGACTTTCCTAGGCAGAGGTCCCTGCGGTCTTCCGCAGTGTATTGTGTCCCTGGGGTACTTGAGATTAGAGAGTGGTGATGACTTTTAACAACCATACTGCCTTCAAGCACTTGTTTAACAAAGCACATCCTGCATAGCCCTAAATCCATTAAGCCTTGAGTAAACACAGCACATGTCTCTGCAAGCACAGGGTTGGGGGTAGGGTTATAGATTAACAGCATCTCAAGGCAGAAGAATTTTTCTTAGTACAGAACAAAATGGAGTCTCTTATGTCTATCTCTTTCTACATAGACACAGTAACAGTCTGATCTCTCTTTCTTTTCACCACAGGTGAATAAGCGGCCCTCAGCAACATCCCTGAATGCTAAGAAGCCAGCCTCCTCTCTGAACCGCTTTGCCACAACGTGACAGATTTCAACTGGATGCTCTGCTCTAACGCAGGGTGACGAGGCTCAGGAATGGGCCACCCACAAGGGCCGTGGAGCCTCTTCCCTGGAGCATCAAGAAGGTGGGGAGCTCTGGCTGGGTAAGTGGTGGGGAAGGACAAAGTGACTTTGGAATCTTGATTATTGGGCAATTTATTAGAAAATTTACAGCAGTAGCAAAAACTATTTACTATCCAGATTGAGGGAAAGGTCACATTATCCATCCCTCTGACTTTGAATAGGACAACACACTTTGCCCAGCTGTCCATTGTGTTAAAAACAAGTCAACACAGAAAACCTCTCCAAAATGTGAGTCTATAGCTCTTGGCATTGAATGATCTGTCTGGCTAGGAGTTCTTCCTGATGTCTGGCTTACATTCCCCTGGCTGCTTAGGGTTCCAGGTGAGCTGGTTGCAACCTGAAGAGCAGCATCCATGTGGGGGCCTTCTGTAGGCCAGAAGGTGTTCCCTCACTTACCCACTTGAGTTCCTCACTTGAAGCTCCTGGCTGTTTTCTGTGATTTCAACAACATCCAGATCCTGGTCTGGGCCAATCTCCACAGCTCTGAAAGTGGGTTTGCTGCTCACATCGAGAGAGAGAGAGAGAGAGAGAGTTGTGAGCTGGGGCAGGGGGTTACAACAAGATGGTAGAGTTGGCTCCCACTCTTAGGAGAGAGGGTGGCAGAGAATGCCTGGTGGGGAGTGGCCAGAGAGTGGAGGTGGTCTTAGTCAGTGAAGATGGGGCCTGCTTTGCCATACAATAAAGAATATATCCTTGGCATCCCAGGACTCAACCCTTGGTGCTGTGCTGATGTAACTTGCTTTCTTGGGCAGGGACTCCAAATCCAGAACCCAGAGCCCTGGAGAAATGTTAAGGGTCTCCTTTCCAAACTCCCGGCTCTGCCCTTATTTCAAATATCCCAGCAATGTCTTCTGGTTCACGGCAGGAAAACAAAGAGGCATAGTGGCCCAGGTTAGCTCCCTTCTCACCTGGGAGGGAGTTGGAATGTGGATATTTGGTTTTCCAAAAAAGGCATCTGGTTTGAATTTAATAGTGGGGATATACTTTTGGCCCCTTAGAGCTATTTAATAGAACAGGACTGGATTGTCTTTATAAGAATCCAAACAAACGTTTATCTCAACAGGACCACCCTCCCTCTTTCTGCTAATCCATGCTTGCCTGCTTTCAAACCTTAGGTTGAAGTTTTTCCTCTAACAGGAAGTCTTCCCTGATTAATTCCATCTCTCTGATTGTTCCTTTACTGAATCTGCCTCTTCTAAATCTTTTCCTTCCATCCCCAACCATGCTAGTAATGCTAGTAGAAGCTCTCCATGGAGGGGTGGGTTGTTCCATGATACTGGTGGTTTGGCACATTCTCAGGCAGGAATGCTGGCACTTCCTGGAAGGACCCAGGGAGGACTCAGACCTGGGAGGACTAGAGTCCATTTTAAGAGTCCTCATAATCTAGGTTCTGTCCCTGGCTCTAGCACTAGTTTGATGTGTGGTCTTGGGCAGGTCACATTCTTTTTCTGGGTCTCTCCAAGCCTCAGTTTCCCCCTCTATAAAAAGATGCATGGGGCTGGGTACAGTGGCTCATGCCTGTAATCCAAGCACTTTGGGAGGCCGAGGTGGATGGATCACCTGAGATCAGGACTTCAAGACCAGCCTGGCCAACATGGTGAAGCCCAGTCTCTACAAAAATACAAAAATCAGCCAGGCATGATTGCTAGTGCCTGTAATCCCAGCTATTCAGGAGGCTAAGGTGAGAGAATTGCTTGAACCTGGGAGGTGGAGGTTGTAGTGAGCTGAGATAGCGCCATTGCACTCCAGCCTGGGTGACAGAGTGACTCTGTCAAAAAAAAAAAAAAGATGCATGGACTAGATGATCCCTAGGGTCTTCCACATCTTGAAATACCCATGGTTCTAGGACAAGAAGGGCCTCCAATCTAGAAGGAGGAAAGAAAGTAGAGAAATCTGAGACCTAGAAGGAGGGAATATGGTAGAAATGGACATTCCCAGGAAAGTTAACTTCTGTTCACCAATTCCATCCCAATGAACGATTCTGATGAACTTTGATTTTGTAAAACACAAGAATAATCAGGTGGTTTGGTGCCTTAGTAAGCTCCAAAAGGACAGAAATTCCAGGAGCCTATCACCTTAAGATCCTCTGGAGACACCCGAGTTTCATAATCAAGCCTCAGCCTGCTGTGCTAGGTACGGCTGACGGCTGACACAGCAGTTGACTAGACTACAGTGGGGAACGGGGGCTGGCTGCAGCGAGGCTGGGCTCAGTGGCTGTGGGAAGAGGGGAGAATAGCAGGTGCTGGGCATGACTTCCTCACTCTCCTTGAAATGAAGGTGGCAGAGTGTGCTTTCTGGAGGGTACTGGAAGTTGCCCCCTGTGGAGAGTAGAGAGCAGCAGAAGCCTGATGAGCAGAGAAGAGAGAGGCAAATAATTCTGATTGATTTGTAATGGCTGCCTGGAGCATTTACTGAAAAAGCACTTTCAGGCTGCATGAGGGATCCATGGGAGAGAGTTCTGTGATTGATTGGTGATGTCTGCCTGGTAGAGTTGTTTTTGGTTTTGGTTTTGGTTTTGGCCTAGTCTCTGGGTCCAGTCTCTTAGAATCCTGAAGAAGTTTGAGGCCTGCCAGAGATAGGTTATCTTACTCTGCAACTGAATGCGTGGGTTCCTTTCCATCCTCTCCAGCTAAACTCTCTGAGTGATCAACCATCTCATCAGCCCCTTCTTTTATAGATGATGTCCTACATGAGAATAAAGAATCACCCAGTGTAGAAACAGAAACACTATGAGAACTCCTAATGTGCAAGAATTAGGGATCTTGGGCTCAAATTCTAGCCCTCTACCTCCCAACCACTACCCTAGCAAGTTACTTACTTTCTTTGAGCCTATTTATGAAATAGATATAATAACTATCTTTTTGGGTTTCTGCCAAAATCAAATGAATATAAATATATAAAATGCAAATTACTCTTATTATAATCTTATACCTTTTCATCCACTCCAGATTTGGAACTGCTTTTGAAATTTGCAGAGAGAGCTGGGATTGCCGAAGATGGGGCCCCACTGAAACTAGGCTCACTTAAGCTAAATCTTAACCAACGAAACTTTGAATAAGTTAATTTGGCTTTTGTGTTGCTGGGCAGGAACAGTTTCTGGCAAAGTCAGGACAAAGGAGTGAAGGTTGAGGAGTAAAGGAAAGGAGAGGACTGCACAGAAGCTAGAAGTGTGTGTGTGTGTGTGTGTGTGTGTGTGTGTGTGTGTTGGAGGGCAGCACACATTCTCTCATTGGCGTTCCAAAACCATCCTATGATGCATGGACTAGATGATCCCTAGGGTCTTCCACATCTTGAAATGCCCATGGTTCTAGGACAAGAAGGGCCTCCAATCTAGAAGGAGGGGGTACTATGAGGTTGGTATTACTTCCCCCAATTCACTCCTGAGAAACCTGAGGCTTAGGAAATTTAACTTCATGTTGCTTAAAAGTGAAATGCTGGGATTCAAAAGCTATTCTGCCTGGCTCCAATGCCTGTATTTTTTAGGAAAGAGAGAAGAAGGAGGAAGGAAAGGAGGAAGAGTAGGAAAGAGGAAGAAGGGAAAAAGGAGAGAGGCTCAGGTTGGTTACCTGCTGTAGCCCATCTGCCTGCAGGCTGTCTCGGCCAGAGCTTCTGTGAAGTTGTCGAAACAGGCAGAGAACCAGTTCCCTGTGGCCGGGTCCAGCACCTGCAGGGTGGATCGGTCCTTGGAGAGGCGGACTAGGAGGAAAAGAACCTGGGTTAGATGGAAGGAGGGGCCCATCTGGCCCATCCCCCTCAGAACTCATCATGAGACCAGTCCAACCTCCCCCAGCCTAGAACTGGGGGTACCACAGAGCCCCAACACTTTCAATGTCAAGGGAATTTCCTCCATTTGGCTTTGTCTATTTGGGCCCCATTTTGACAGTAGCTAGTGTGACCAGACGTCCCGGAGTCAGTCTCTGTTTTGACCTGTTGCCCTGGCCCAATGGTTAATAGAGCCCCCTTTTGCTCTTACAGGTATCAGTTTTGATGATCAATTATGTGGTCACTCTACCCAGAGACCATATACAACTTGTTTACATTGTATGGACCACATACCCATCCATGGTCCATGCAACTTGCTCAGCCTGGGGAAATGTCTCAGAGAGGGACCTAGGTCCTTCTCCAAGAAAGGTCAGAGCGGGAGGTTGAGTGAGAAGTCCTATTGGCAGTAGGATGACAGGTGCATTTGACTTCTGATAAGGGCATTTGACAGGCATTTGATTTCTGATAAAGAGTGAGCAAATACACAGGAAGTCACTCAGCCCTGCCCTCAGAAGCCCCATCACTCATCTCCTACCTATCTTTATTTCTTCAGAGCCCAAGCACCAGGGGGATGAAGGTAGAAGAGTCCAGCCCAAGAGAGAACGTGGGTTTTATGCTCAAAACACCTATCCATTGAAACGACCTGGCTCAGTCCTGTCACATAGCGCATCTCAGCAAACACTAAAGAATAGAAGGACCAATAGCTGGCAAAGTGGCTGAGAAGTCTCTTTTCTAGTCTCCTTGAAATAACAGATCTCATAGAAAGGAGGAACGCTCCAAGGTCACCCAGTCTAGCCCTCTGCCTGAAATCCACCCAGGCGCAGCACGCATGGGGCAGGTTCAGTTACAATTTCCTGTACTTTCTGGCTCACATTTGTTCATCAAATAGTTGCTGTTTGCTGTGTGTTAAGTACTGGGATTTAAAGGTAGACAAGACACAGTCCTGCTCTCAAGAAACTTATACAGCAGGGTACAGTGGATCACGCCTGTAATCCCAGCACTTTGGGAGGCCAAGGCGGGCGGATCACCTGAGGTCAGGAGTTCGAGACCAGCCTGACCAACATGGCAAAACCCTGTCTCTACTAAAAGTATAAAAATTAGCCAGGCATGGTGGCTGGCACCTGTAATCCCAGCTACTCATGAGGCTGAGGCAGGAGAATCACTTGAACTTGGAAGGCAGAGGTTGCAGTGAGCCGAGACCAAGCCATTGCACTCCATCCTGGGCCACAGAGCGCTCTGCCTCAAAACAAAAACAAAAACACACAAACAAAAAAAGAACCTCATACAACAAGGATGAACAGTGACAAGTAGGTGGCAGATACTATGCAGTGGGCCATGGGGGCCTGAGCAGACCTCCTGCTGGGCCCACTCCTCTTGTGCCTCAGACCCTGCACTCACCTGCCACTGCAGGCCCTTCAGGGAAGCTCTTGACACAGTGCTCCTCGTCCTCTCCCAAGGGACAGTCCAGCTCCCCGTCACACAGCTGCTTCCTTGGGATGAAGTGGAGGGGCTGCTCGCAGAGGAAGTAGTATTTATCCAGAATCACCTTGACTGGAGGCAAGTGCAGGGAGGGGCAGAGAGGGCTGAGGGTCAGGCTTGAGTAGGGAGAGGCTGGGTTTTCCTGGCGATGATGCTGGGCTCTCGGACGCATGTGTGAGTTCCAGGCTCAGTTCTGCTATTTGGTAGCACATAGACTTGGCCTGAACCTCAGCTTCCTTGTCTGTAAAGTGGAGGTAGTAACACCGGCCCCATACCCACATGATGTCTGAGGATCAAGAGAGGTCACGTGTGTGGGAGAAATTGAGAAACAGGCTGATACCTGCCTCTTACCCCCAGTGCTGGCTCAGTACGTTCTGGTAACAGAGGAGGAACCCAGAGTCTGAAGACCCAGTTCTGAGTCCTAGCTCTGCCACCTACCGTGGAACTTAACTTTTTTGTTTTTTGAGATGGAGTCTCGCTCTGTCATTCAGGCCGGAGTGCAGTGGCGGGGTTTTGGCTCGCTGCAGCCTCCGCCTCCCAAGTTTAAGTGATTCTCCTGCCTCAGCCTCCCGAGTAGCTGGGATTACAGGCACGTGCCACTGTACTCAGCTGATTTTTTGTATTTTTAGTAGAGATGGGGTTTCACCATGTTGGCCGGGCTGTTCTCGAACACCCAACCTCAGGTGATCCACCTGCCTTGGCCTCCCAAAGTGCTGGGATTACAGGCGTGAGTCACTGTGCCCAGCCATACTGTCCAACTTTATACGGATCACTTTCCTTCCTTAGTTCTCAGTTTCCTCATCTGTACAATGGGATGATAGTATCTATAATATCTGCCTCACAGGGCTGTTGAGAGCATGTGGTATGATGGTAGTTGTGAAAATGTCTCGTAACTATCAAGTATAGTTCTAGAGTTGGGTGCTTTTATCTGGGTGAAAGAACTGTTGAAAGATAAGAACACATGCACACATGCAGGGGGATCAACACACTCTGGGACCTGTCGGGCGGGAGGCAGAGGCAGGGAGAGCATCAGGAATTATAGCTAATGGTTGCCGGGCTTTATACCTCAGTGAAGGGTTGATCAGTGCAAACCACCATGGCACGCTTACCTATGTAACAAACCTGCACGTCCTACACATGTACCCCAGAACTTAGAATAAAAGTTGAACAAAAAAAGTAATTAAAATATATAAATAAAAATAACTAAAATTAAGAAAAAAAGAGAAAGATCTGTTAAGGGCTTGGTCCTTGGTTTTTTTGTTTCTCTTGCTGTCTTTAGATTCTGCCAGCTGCTTTCGAATTCTGTTGTTCTTTTGCCATCTTGGGATGATGGAAAGATGTCGAGTGTGTTTAATCCTTCAGGGAACTGATATTTTAACACTTCTTCTGGCCGTGCATGGTAGTTCACACCTGTAATCCCAGCACTTTGGGGTACCAAGGCAGGAGGATTGTTCGAGCCCAGGAGTTCAAGATCCGTCTGGGCAACATAGTGAGATCCTTGTTTCTCCAAAATAAAAATAAAAAAAATTAGCCAGGCATGGTGGTGTGCCCCTGTGGTCCCAGCAACTTGGGAGTCTGAGGCAGGAGGATTGCTTGAGCCCAGAAGTTTGAGGCTGCAGTGAGCCGTGATGTCATGATTACACTCTAGCCTGGGAGACAGAGTAAGACCTTGTCTCAAGCAAACAAACAAACAGACAAACAAACAAACTTTTCCTTAGTGAAGACTCACAGCCAAACACCCTGGCAGGAGGGGACTCCTCCTTCGTAACTGAATTCTCTCTTGGCCTGATGGGCCCCTCTCCAGTCCAGTATCATCCTGGGCTGGTCTTAAGAGTAGTGGCATGAAATCTAATAATGGTCCCTGCTTGTCACCGTGTTAGGAGCTTTCTATACATTTCCTCATGTAATCCTGGTAACAGTCTTGGGAGGGAGGTGTTATTACTAACTCACATTACAAACAGGGACATGGAGAATTGAAGGCCAGGCTTTATTTTCCCAGGGCACACAGTGCTTCCAGTGTACAGCCAGGGCCCATCTAACTCTCTGGGGAAGCTTGAGATGTGATCGCTGGCCCTGATGCTCCTGGCGTGAGTGAAGCAAGGGAGAAGGAGGAGCCAGGTATTACCTAGCTCTTTGGAGTTTGGTTTATGATCAGGAGCCAGAGTGAGGCAGAGTCACCCCAACCTCCTGGGACAAATCCAGGAGACAGCGTTGCCAGTTGAGACTCCAGAAGCCATAGGTTGAGGGAGCCCGGCCCAGGATGGAGGACTGGGTTACAATCTCTGATTACAGAATCCGGGGGCCAAGGATGTGGAAGCCATGTAGGACCTTCCGGGACAGGGAGTGTCCAGCTCTAAATTATGCTTCAGTGCCTGCCTGGCTTTCCCTGGATAACTCTGGCCCCCTTTATCTCCACTGTGGCAGGGTGTATGCTTATGGAAAGCAAGCTCGCTTCAACATTAGCCTGAATAGAATAGGATGGCAAGTCTGCTGATGGCACTGCAAACCTCCATCGTGTGGGCAACCAAGACCAAAGAGAAAGGGTTTGGGGTCATCTCCATCTCACACCCATCCAGGGCTCCCAGGGCTTTGAGTGGGGTTTATGTTGTGGCTCTACTTTTCTACCGCCACGAGATGGAAATGAACCTGTTCAATCAGGGCACTGGGGTCCTGTCCCAGCCTTGACGCTGACTGCCGCTACTCCTCTCCGAGCCTCAGTGCTCGCGTGGAAGGGGGACCAGAGGCTCTCTCAGTGTCCTCCAACCAGGCAGTTGGCTGCTACTGCTTGAAATGTCACCACAGTTACAAGTGCAGATTCCTGAAAGGCCAGCTATTCCCTGGCTGCACAGGCAGTCCTGCCCCAATTAGCAAATGCATGTCCTGGGTCACATTTCGCCTGCTGCTGTGTGATGACACACTCTTTTGCAAAACTTGGTTTTTAGCTTGGTCATTTACAAATCTTATCTCATTGGTGTTCATGATATCGCTTTGAGGGAGGAAGGACATTTTACAGGTGAGGAGACTGAGGTTACGAGGCAGTGAAGGACTTACTCAAGGTCATGCAGCAGCAAGTGGCAGAGCCAGGATCCCTGTCTCAGGTGTCCTGATTCCTAGTCTGGTCCCCAGTGCCCTACTTCTTGCTGTGAAAAGTTGCGGTTAGTAACCTGCTGTGCTCATGTGGATAACAAAGACAATGACTCCATCATAAGATGTGGGAGCCAAAAACGACCCACATCCCTGCTCCTTCAGTTGAATCTTCTTTATCACGGATAAGGGCCTGAGGCAGAGAGGCCTACTCAAGACCACACTGGGCCTCAGGCACTAGCCATGGTGAAGGCCAGGCTGAAGGGGGCCAGGTGCCAGCTGCCTGGGGGGTCTTCTCTGCTGCCTCCTCTTTCTCCCCTCCTCACAAGCAGAAACTCTTCCTGTTCTTCCAGCTGCTGCTCAGAGCCACTCAGCTTGCAATGTGCAGAAGATGGGAAGGAGGGGGCAGGGGGCGTGGCGGCCCTGCAAATTGCCTGCGTGGGTTAGGAACATGTGCCACTGTGCTCTCCCTCTAGAAGAAGTCACCTGGGATAGAAGCCATCTGGAATAGATGGGGGCTGAGTTCATCTCCCCTTTCACTCTTAGAATAAGGTTATCTTCAAAGCAGGGGGTGGATACGTATGGTTTCTTTTTCTTTCTTTCTCTCTCTCTTTCTCTCTCTCTCTCTCGCTCTTTCTTTCTTTCTTTCTTTCTTTCTTTCTTTCTTTCTTTCTTTCTTTCTTTCTTCTTTCTTTCTTTCTCTATTTCTCTTTCTCTTTTTTTTTCTCCTCAAATTCCTTTTTGCTATACCAATGATTTTTTTTTCTGCAAGCTTTGCGCTGCAGATCCACCTGCCCCTGACTGTGGGGGTAGGCTGCACTCACTGAGGGAGGTGAAGGACAAGTAGGGCTGCCATAGAGGTGATGATGGGGAGAGGGGGCAGAGCTGCCTGCTTACTGGGGGTGAGGAAACAGGGGTGGGACTGCCTCTTACTGGAAGGGGGTGAGGGCAGGGGTGGGGGACTCACCTCTTACTGAAGGAGTGAGAGCAGGGGTGGGGGACTGCCTCTTACTGAAGGGGTGAGGCAGGGTGGAGACTGCCTCTTACTGAAGGAGGTGGGGAGCAGGGGGTGGGGACTGTCACTTACTTATTCAGGGGGTGAGTATGGGGGTGGGGGTGGGCCCTGTCATTTACTTAGAGGTGAAAGTCGGGTGAGGCTGTCACTTGCAAGGACCACAATGATGATACCATGAAGCTCAGTAGTGCTCGATGATGGGGATCCCCTTTCCTGAAGAGTCTCCATGAAAGTGCGGGGTTTGCGCAGGGGTTGACATCTGTAGGAAGGTGGGAGGCAGAGGGAGAAGTATGCCATCAGCACTTGAAAAATTGGTCCTAGACCAAACTCCACAGCCTGCCGCCCTCTGGCCAGTGACAGCAGTACCTTGGGGACCAGTTTTGGTTAATGCTGGGGGTTATTCCTGCAGACAAGGCTTAGCTTCATCAGCACATGGTTACCCTGCCTCTTCTCTTCCAGGCTCACTTATCATTCACTTGAGTGCCCCTCAAAGGAGCTGACCAGGCCCGCCTCCCCTGTGTCTTGCCTGAGTACATCCCAGGACATTTCTGGAGTTTGCGTCTGACCAGCACCTGCCTGAGAGGCCTGAGCCTGGAGCATGTACCCGGGCTGCTGTGCCACCATTTATCCTTTTTCTGACCTCCTGACTTAGCTTTTGATTAAACATTAAGCTTCCGGGAGGCAGGGCCTCAGCAGTCTTGATCTGTGGAAGCAATAAACATTTGCGAATCAATGCATCTTCAATCCACAAACAGCAAGTCCCAGCCTGGTCCTTGTCTTTAAGAGATTACCATCTGGGGGAAGAGCGAACTGAATGCCAGTCCAGCCAACGGTGGAAAGATAATATATATGTTATAATAGAGACATCTTCAAAAGGTAAGCTGGTGAAAGCCTCCTCAGCCAGGTGGCATACAGCCCTTAGGAGTGCCAGGTCAGGAGGGAGAGGCACTGGCTTCAAGCTCAGTCAGAGAATGGAGGGGAGATAGCTGGTGCCTGGCGTGTACCAGGAATAAAGGCAAGTTGGAAGGCAGGATGGAGTGAAGGCAGCTGTGGGGCTCTTGAACACCTTTTCAAAGATCTGGGTTTTATCCTGAAGGCAGTGAGAGCCGTTGAGATTTTGAACAGTGGAGAGACAGGATCAAATTAATTTTTAGAAAGATGGATCACAGTCGGGTGTGGTGGCTCACGCCTGTAATCCTTTGCTGAAAAGAATAGTGGGTGGAATAAGCCTGAGGTCAGGAGTTCAAGACCAGCCTGGCCAACATGGTGAAACCTAGCTCTATAAACACGAAATTAGCCAGAGCATGGTGTTTGTGCCTGTAATCCCAGCTATAGAAGCTGAGGCAGGAGAATCGCTTGAACCAGGGTGGAGGTTGCAGTGAGCAGAGATCGTGCCGATGTACTCTCCAGCCTGGGTGACAAGAGCAGGGACTCCATCTCAAAAGCGAAAAGAAAGATGGATCTTTCATCAGAGGGGAGATGGATTGGAACAGAGAGTCTGGGGTTAGGAGACCAGGTAGGTTGATCACTGCCTAGAACAGAGTGATAGCATCGCTACATTTATCAATTGCACATCATTATCAAGAAGAAGGAACTTCCAGAAAGAGAAAAACATGTAAGCAAAATTAATATATGTTAAGTGTCAGAGATACATTCTTTTAAGTCCCCCTCTCCTTGTGGGAAATAAGCTGGGAGGTGCATGCGGGACTTCTCCTGGAAGCTGAGAGGGCAAGAATTCTGGAAACCCTGGAAGCACGGACTGGCTCTCCTGCCTCACTCCCACATGGCTGGCTCCTCTCCTCCCTCCCAGTCTTTCTTCACTGTCACCTTCACAGTGAGGCCTACCTGGATCTCCCTATTTAAAAAGGAGCCTTCCAAACTTTCCTATCCTCCTTTCTTGCTTTCTTTTCTTCCCAAAAGCATGCGCATCGCCTCTAACATATGCTATGTTGACATATTTTCTGTCTCCTCTCCCACCCTTCCATGAAATGAAGACTGGGTTGAAGACAGAACTTGTCTGTTTGTTCACTGCTGAATCCCTGAGTACCTAGAACAGTGTGAGGGTCCTGGTAATTGCTCAACAAATATTTGTCACATGGTGGGTAATTTTCTTGGCTCTGTTCTCTTAAGCATCCTTCTACTACCTACTTTCTTTTCTTTTTTCTTTTCTCCCCCTCCCCCCTCCCTCCCCTTCTCTCTCTCTCTCTCTCTCTCTCTCTCATTCACGGAATCACTGCCCAGGCTGGAGTGGTGCAGGGCAATGGCATGATCTTGTCACTGCAACCTCTGCTCACCAGAGCTCAAGCCATCCTTCCTCAGCCTCCTGAGTAGCTGGGACTACAGGCATGTAGTATCACCCAGTTAGCATTCATATTTTTGTAAATGTTTTCATGTTACCGGACAGGTCTCAAAACTCCTGGGCTCAAGCAATCCACACCTTGACCTCCCAAGTACTAGGATTACTGGCATGAGCTTTCTTTCTTTCTTTCTTTCTTTCTTTCTTTCTTTCTTTCTTTCTTCTTTCTTTCTTCTTTCTCTATTTCTCTTTCTCTTTTTTTCTCCTCAAATTCCTTTTATTATACCAATGATTTTTTTTTTTCTGCAAAGCTTTATGCAGATCACCTGCCCCTGACTGTGGGGGTGGGGGCTGCCACTCACTGAGGGGGTGAAGGACAAGTAGGGGCTGCCACTTATGAGGTGATGATGGGAGGGGCGGGGCTGCCTCTTACTGAGGGGGTGAGAGCAGGGGTGGGACTGCCTCTTACTGAAGGGGTGAGGGCAGGGGTGGGGGACTGCCCACCTCTTACTGAAGGAGTGAGAGCAGGGGTGGGGGACTGCCTCTTACTGAAGGGGTGAGGCAGGGTGGAGACTGCCTCTTACTGAAGGAGGTGGGGAGCAGGGGGTGGGGACTGTCACTTACTTATTCAGGGGGTGAGTATGGGGGTGGGGGTGGGCCCTGTCATTTACTTAGAGGTGAAAGTCGGGTGAGGCTGTCACTTGCAAGGACCACAATGATGATACCATGAAGCTCAGTAGTGCTCGATGATGGGGATCCCCTTTCCTGAAGAGTCTCCATGAAAGTGCGGGGTTTGCGCAGGGGTTGACATCTGTAGGAAGGTGGGAGGCAGAGGGAGAAGTATGCCATCAGCACTTGAAAAATTGGTCCTAGACCAAACTCCACAGCCTGCCGCCCTCTGGCCAGTGACAGCAGTACCTTGGGGACCAGTTTTGGTTAATGCTGGGGGTTATTCCTGCAGACAAGGCTTAGCTTCATCAGCACATGGTTACCCTGCCTCTTCTCTTCCAGGCTCACTTATCATTCACTTGAGTGCCCCTCAAAGGAGCTGACCAGGCCCGCCTCCCCTGTGTCTTGCCTGAGTACATCCCAGGACATTTCTGGAGTTTGCGTCTGGGGGGACTGCCTCTTACTGAAGGGGTGAGGGCAGGGGTGGGGGACTGTCACTTACTTATTCAGGGGGTGAGTATGGGGGTGGGGGGGTGGGCCCTGTCATTTACTTAGAGGGTGAAAGTCGGGTAGGGGCTGTCACTTACTGAGGACAACCACAATGATGATACTCGCCAGGCTCAGTAGTGCTACGATGATGGGGATCCCCACCTTTCTGAAGGTCTCCATGGGGGTACGGGGTTTGCGCAGGGGGTTGACATCTGTAGGAAGGTGGGAGGCAGAGGGGAGAGCATGCCATCAGCACTTGGTGGTCCCTGAACCAAACTCCACAGCCTGCCGCCCTCTGGCCAGTGACAGCAATGCCTTGAGGACAGTTTTGGTTAATGCTGGGGGGTTATTCCTGCAGACAAGGCTTAGCTTCATCAGCACATGGTTACCCTGCCTCTTCTCACTTATCCAGGCTCACTTATCATTCATGAGTGCCCCTCAAAGGAGCCCCCAGGCCAGGCCGCCTCCCCTGTGTCTTGCCTGAGCCTGTCCCAGGACATTTCTGGGTTTCGTCTGACCTTTGCCTGCCTGAGAGAGGCCTGAGCCCCTGGAGCATGTACCCATTCACTGTGCCACCATTTATCCTTTTCCTGACCTCCTGACTTAGCTTTTGATTAAACATTAAGCTTCCGGGAGGCAGGGCCCTCCAGCACAGTGCGTGCTTAGTAGAGGCTTAATAAACATTTGCGAATCAATGCATCTTCAATCCCACAAACAGCAAGTCCCAGCCTGGTCCTTGTCTTTAAAGAGATTACCATCTGGGGGAAGAGGCAGACACAGATGCCAGTCCAGCCAGGTGGAAGATAATATATGTTATAATAGAGACATCTTCAAAGGTAAGCTGGTGAAAGCCTCCTCAGCAGGTGGCACTTAAGTGCAGGTCAGGAGGGAGGCACTGGCTCAGCTCAGTCAGAGGCATGGAGGGGGCTTGTAAGCTGCCTGGTGTGCCTGGCGTACCAGGGGAATAAAGGCAAGTTGGAAGGCAGGATGGGTGAAGGCAGCTGTGGAGACTCTTGAACACTATGCTAAGGAGTCTGGGTTTTATCCTGAAGGCAGTGAGGAGCCGTTGAAAGTTTTTGAACAGTGGAGAGACAGGATCAAATTAATTTTAGAAAGATGGATCTAGTCGGGTGTGGTGGCTCACGCCTGTAATCCCAGCACTTTGGGAGGCCAAGGTGGGTGGATCGCCTGAGGTCAGGAGTTCAAGACCAGCCTGGCCAACATGGTGAAACCCTGGCTCTACTAAACATACAAAAATTAGCCAGGCATGGTGGTGCATGCCTGTAATCCCAGCTACTTGGAAGGCTGAGGCAGGAGAATCGCTTGAACCCAGGAGGTGGAGGTTGCAGTGAGCAGAGATCGTGCCATTGTACTCCAGCCTGGGTGACAAGAGCAAGACTCCATCTCCAAAAACGAAAAGAAAGATGGATCTTTCATCAGAGAGGAGATGGATTGGAACAAGAGAGTCTGGGGTTAGGGAGACCAGGTAGGAGTTGATCACTGCCTAGAACAGAGGTGATAATAACTACATTGTCAATTGCACATCATTATCCAAGAAGAAGGAACTTGAAAGGGAAAACGTAGGCAAAATTAATATCAGTAAGTGTCAGAGATACATTCTTTTAAGTCCCCCTCTCCTTGTGGGAAATAAGCTGGGAAGGTGCCATGCGGACTTCTCCCCTGGGGGAGCTGGGGCAAGAATTCTGGAAACCCTGGAAAGCAACGGACTGGCTCTCCTGCCCTCACCTCCACATGGCTGGCTCCCTCTCCTCCTCCCAGTCTTTCTTCACTGTCACCTTCACAGTGAGGCCTACCTGGATCTCCCTATTTAAAAAGGAGCCTTCCAAACTTTCCTATCCTCCTTTCTTGCTTTCTTTTCTTCCAAAGCACGCATCGCCTCTAACATATGCTATATTTGACATATTTTCTGTCTCCTCCCACCCTTCCATGAAATGAAGACTCGTTGAAGACAGAACTTGTCTGTTTTGTTCACTGCTGAATCCCTGGTACCTAGAACAGTGCTTGGTCCATAGTAATTGCTCAACAAATATTTGTCACATGAACAGACGAATTTTTCTTGGCTCTGTTCTCTTAAGCACATCCCTTCTACTACCTACTTCTTTTCTTTTCTTTTTTCTTTTCCTCCCCTCCCCTCCCCTCCCCTTCTCTCTCTCTCTCTCTCTCTCTCTCTCTCTCATTCACGGAATCTGCTGCCCAGGCTGGAGTGCAGGGGCAATGGCATGATCTTGGCTCACTGCAACCTCTAACTCCTGGGCTCAAGCCATCCTTTTACCTCAGCCTCCTGAGTAGCTGGGACTACAGGCATGTGGTATCACACCCAGTTGGCATTCATATTTTTTGTAGAAATGGGGTTTTACCATGTTACCCGGACAGGTCTCAAACTCCTGGGCTCAAGCAATCCACCCACCTTGACCTCCCCAAGTACTAGGATTACTGGCATGAGCCACCATGCCCGGCCCCTTCTACCTTTCTTACAGGTCGCATTTTATTCTGCCTTGAATGATGGCTAATCACATGTCTGGCTCTATTTCTTTCCTCAGCTCTTCAAAAGCAGAGAATGGCATCCTGCCAGAGACTGGCACCCAGTGAATGCCAGTACTAATGAATCTGTTGACAAAGGAAAGCTTAGGACACTTTGTGTTTCCCCAAAAGAGAGTTTTAACTTCAGACACAGAAGCCAGGCAGTGGGGTGTGGACTGGAATGGTGTTGCCCATAAACTATGACCTGGCACAAAGTAGCTTATCAGTAATATTTGCTGATACTGTTTTTAAAGTTCCAGCAGCCAGTCTTCAGAATTGTCCTCTTTCCTGTGGCCATGACTATGATGACATTTTGTTCATGAATTCATGCATGATTTATTTATTGAGCACCTACCTCTGGGAACATGAGATTGGTTTGTTTTCTCCAAGAGTGAGTGACCCATGGGGAGTCCTGGGTTCCTGTGTCCAGGGCCAGATACTCTCGGGGAGCATCTGCTTCCCCCACTAGGAAGGAAAGAGCTTTCATACCTAGTTTAAGTTAACGAACACAGTGAGCTATGAACAGCCTCTTTGCCAGCTATTGTTCCTCCCTCCAGCCTGTCCTATCCACTGCAGCTAGACAGAGCTTCCTAAAAGCTTGCTTTCATCCTGTCGCTTCTTACTCGAGGGCCTACAAGAGACTTCCGCATCTGGATTATGTCTTTCAAAGCCAGTGTAATTTGGCCTCTCTCTCTGAGCCAAATGGACTTCCACTGCTAGTCTTCGCCAACCCCCAGTTCTGCATAGGCACGTTCACTTCCTGGTCCTCGAGCAAACTCAGCCTTGTTTTCTGGTTTGAGAGTTCTCAGGCTTGTTCAGGTGGTGGAGCAGCTGGCACCCTGGTGTTCTTTGGGGACACCATGGCCTACTCTTATACTAAATTCCAAAGTATCAACTAGGCACCATTTTACTTGCTAAAGATTACTTCGTCTGTGGTCATTGTTAACTCATGACCCAGAACTGGGAAATAAATAACCTGTCAAGCAGGATTGGCCATTTTCTCACTGATCTGTTCATATTAACGTGTTCCTTGCTCGTCTGTTTTGCTGATCTAGCAGGCTATCAGGAGTAGATATTAATGGTTTAAGAAAATGCAATGGAAGAAAAACACCTCCTTAAATTTGGGATCATTCTATTTTTTAACTTATTTTTCTTTCCCTGGAAATCAGGCAAGCACTGCCATTTTTCATGAAAATGCTTCTGGCCAGCTTGTTCCTTGGCAGCACAGTGGGACCGTGAACTCCATGAGACCAGGGACTTCGGCAGTCTTAATTACTGTGATAGGCCAGCGTCCAGCCCAGGGCCTGGCACTTGGCAGGTACTTACAGTTTTAGTGGAAGAATAAGAGTAACTGAATGGATGAATTGGAGAATCTTTGCTTTGGTGATTTTAGGTTCGTTGGTCTTGTCTCCCCAGAGACCAGGCCTCCTGCTTCTAGAATGAGTCCTGGAATGTTTGCTGAGTGATGGATAGACGGGTGGCTGGATGTCACCCATGGCACTTATCATTTTGGTAGTGAGGGCCAGGCGAGAGTGGCTTAGGATCTACTTGGTAGCTGAAACTCAGAGGCTAAGGTGGACAAACGAAAGCCGGACCTGAACTTACCGAGGCTGTTCAGAGGTTGATCACTGTCAGGATCCTGCAATTGAAGGAAAAACAGTCAGTGAGTTGAGGTGGGAGCCTCTCAGGCTGGGGCTAGCAGCCTAGGGGAGGTTCTTGGGTCTTGTCTATATTCCCTTCTCCCTGAGTCTAAGTAGGGGTCTCTGTGTTATCCAAATACCTGGTTCAACAGGAAACATTCAGTCATACACCTATTTGATCTATTTCAATTAGTTTACTTATTAATTTATTTAACCAGTAGCAACTGATTAGCAATTGTAGAAGCAACTGGCTGCTGGTTTGTTGTGTAAATTGCTGAACTCCTTAAGATGATTCTGCGCTACTCTCTGCTTTTGTCAAGGATTTGTCTATGTTTACAGATAGTATATTTCTATAAAAACTTGAATAGATGTTTTACAAAAGGGAACAACCAACTCGCCAACAAGTACCAAACAATGCTTAATGCCATTACTTATCCAGCAAATGCAGATTCAAACCACAATAAAATATCTCTACATAAACACCAAATGGCTAAAATGTAAAAGACTGACAATACTGTGTTGATGATGTGGGAAAACAGGAGCTCTCAGACCTTGTTGGTGGAAGTGTAAATTGGTACAAATACTTTGGAAAATGGTTTGGCTGAATCCACTAATGCTAAACACACAACTATTTTATGATTCTATGATCCAGCAATTCTGCTCCAGGAGATAGCCAAGAGAAACGAGTACAAACGTCTAGCAAAAACCCTGTGCATGAAGGTCTACAGTCACTTCATTTGTAATAGCTAAACATTGGAAAAACCCAAACGTCAGTCACTGGTAGAGTAGATAAACTGGTATTTTCATATAATAGAATATAATTCAGCAATAGACAAGAATAACCTAATTCAAAATGCAACGATATGGATGAATTCCACAGACATAATGATGAAGGGAAGAAAATAGTCACAAAAATTACGATTCCACTTATATAAAGTTTAAAAGGCAAGGTTAATCTATAGTGATAGAAGTCAGAACAGTGGTTACCACTGGGGAAGGGGGCAGTTAGTTATTAGAAGGAGCACAGTGGAGTCTTCTGGAAAACTTGTAGATCTTATTCTTGACATTGGTTACAAGGGTGTTTATATGTGCAAAAATTCACTTTAGACTTGAATGCCTTACTACATATATGCTACCAACACTATGACATTTCTGAGCATGGTCTTAGGCCACCATTGATGCATGTACACAAATACACGCAAAGGCATTTATACTTACTCACACCACTTCACGTGTGCACTCGGCACACACACAGCCACATAGAGTCACATGGAGGAGCCACTGACACAAAGGCTCAGATACAAAATACATGCACACCCTTTCGGCCAGACAAATGTGAAAGGGAGGATGCTGTCTGGGTTTACGCCCTCTGAACCCTGTGGTCTAGGTCTCCACCCAGGGACTTGCCTGCCCTATTGTGCTGAAGTCATGACCTGCCTTGGTGGTGGTTGGAGGAGTCGCAGGACCTTGTACATTTCCAGCTGGAGATGTTTTCTGTTCCTCTTGGGAGTGAGAGGGCCCCTTTTCATCCCTGAGTGGGTGACCCTGATTAGATATGGAGGGAGGGTCCCTGGGTGTTGCCTGCTCCACGGCTAAGCATGGTGGACACAGCAGTTGGGAGGAGCTCTTCCTTTTCCTCCCAAACGAGCCTGTAGTCTGCTGGAAGGACATGCCTGGCCTTGCCCTTGGGTGACACTAGTCCATGGGCGGCCTTGTGGTGTAGCACACAGCTTGGTTCTGCAGTCTGCAGGGGTCGAGTCAGAATACAACCCTGGCCTCCTGTTAACTGTGTGCTTTCAGGAAAGATCCTTCACCTCTCTGAACTCCAGGCTTACCCTCTGTAGAGTGGGGACGATAAAACCTGCTTCAAAAGACTACTGTGAGGATTACATGAGTTGTCTGGTGGGAAATGCTGGGCTCTCACATGGGGACTCTCTTCCCTCTGCCCTCCCATTGAAACTGCCTTTGCAAAATGATGACTGAGACAGTGAAAGAGATCTAACCTAACCGACTCCATCTTACTTCTAACCTCCAAGCTGTCCTTGGTCATTCCTGGGCATAGGCTGAACTAACTTTGGGAGAAACTCAGCTTATAGTTTAAGCAAAGTTGGTAACAACTCTTTCCCAAAGCAGACCTCCTTCTTGTCTGGGGACTAGATTAACATTAGCCCCGAGATTAGAAATTATGGTTTAGGAATCATACAGCTGGAGGTCACAAGACTCTGACCCTCCCCAAACTGCTTCTAAGATCAGTGCTTGAGATATTTTGCAGACCCTGCACTTGATGGATCAGCTGGCACCACCCAGATCGATAAACTGGCTTATCTGATCTGTGGCCCCCCACCCAGGAACTGACTCAGTGCAAGAAGTCAGCTCCAGCTCCATATGATTTCGTCCCTGACCAATCAACATTCCTGGCTCACTGGCTTCCCCCACCCACCAAGTTATTCTTAAAAACTCCGCCCCCTGAATGCTCAGGGAGACTGTTTTGAGTAATAATAAAACTCCGGTCTCCCGCACGGCTGGCTCTGTGTGAATTACTCTTTCTCTATTGCAATTCCCCCGTCTCGAAGAATCCGTTTTGTCTAGGCAGCAGGCAAGGTGAACCCCCTGGGCGGTTACATCATCCTCTGCATTTCTATAGCATTTGGTACAGGAGTTTATCATAGGACTTCTCTCGTAGGGTGGTCAGCGTTTCCTTTTGTTTTTTCTTCTTTTTGGTTGCTTTTTAAAATTTAAAATTTAATTTTTCAGTGGCCACTCTTTCTCATTGCGTTTGTACCCTTGGTGTTTAGCACCAGGCTGGTACTGAACTTTGAGTTCTGCATTGTAGTTCATTCCCAGCCGTCTCTCCTCCACTATCACTAGGGCTGGATACAGCAGACTGTTTCCAGGCTGAAGGTGAGACCCAATTGGGCAACTCTGCATTGTTGTGGCTAGAGTCAAGGTAGGATAATATCAACAGTAATTCACACCCAACTGGCATGTGACGGTTTACAAAGTCCTTTCATCTAACTCTTGTCTAGTCAAGTCGATATCAATTGTCTGCTAACCAGGATGGGCAGCATTAAAGAATTAATTATTAACTAAACAAATGCTTGTAAAGCATCTACATTGTACCAGGCACTACTCCAGGAGGATTCAGAGGCAGATTAAGAAACCACCCCAGCAAGATGGGGAAAATAGTGCCCAAACAAGAAAGCCGAGAGTCTGTCCCTGAGAAGCTTGTTTCTTGGTGGAGAGGAGGGCTAGGGGAAGGGGGAGGACAGGCCATAAACAGATAAACCAGAAAAGGTCAGAGAGGGGTAGGTGCTACGCAGAGAGTAATCCAGCGTGAGAGGAGACAGCGCCTGGATGGAGACTGAGAATGGGAGCTCTAGGGAGGGGCTCAGGATGGTTGTGGAGGATCTCGCTGGTCTCCCTAGAGGAGATGACAAGAAGGAGCCAAGTGGCAAGGAACAAGCTTGGGGGATTGGAGGAACTGAATAGAGATGGGCATGGCTGGAGCAAGGCAAGGGCCTAAGGAGAGAGGAGGTTGGTGGTAAAAAAACGCCATATGTGTTTGGAAGATACAGGCAATAGGCCTCGCCGATGGACTGGGTGTGCTTGGGTTTAGTTTCGTGGGTAAGAGGGTGCTTGCTGAGCTGTGGGAGGCTGGAGGAGCAGCTGGTGGAGCAGGGAAGTGGGCCCTTTCGTGTCGATTCATTCCCTTCCACTGAGTCTACTTGTGCATGCATGCCTGCATTCATTGAGGTAGGTAGGGCAAATTTCTTTTGTTTATTGTTAATTTGACAAATATTGACTATACACCTTTGATGGACCCGGAATTGTGCTAGAAGCTGATGCACAAAGGAAGCTTATATTCTGCACTTTCTGGGGCCTTGGATTCCTCATCACTGGACTGAACAGTGGCTAATTGTGTGTGTGTGTGTGTGTGTGTGTGTGTGTGTGTGTGTGTGTGTGAGAGAGAGAGAGAGAGAGAGAGAGAGAGAAAGGAAGAGAGAGTCTCATTCTTTCGCCCAGGCTGGAGTGCAATGTTGCGATCTCAGCTCACTGCAACAGCCACCTCCTGGGCTCAAGTGCTCCTCCCACCTCAGCCTCCCGAGTAGCTGGGACTACGGGCATGCACCACCACGCCCAGCTATTTTTTTTTTTTCGTAGAGATGAGGTCTCACTGTATTGCCCAGGCTGGTCTCGAACTCCTGGACTCAAATGATCTGCCCACCTCAGCCTCCCAAAGTTTTGGGATTACAGGTGTGAGCCACCATGACTGGCCCTTAATTGTTTTCAATTGCTATTCACTGAGTAGTAGCTGTGGGAAAAAATTCTATACCTGTTTGAAACCAAAAGAGAGAAAGAAAAAATGAACTAAAGCAAAACTGTAAGCTAGAATGATAGGAACTGTGACTATCTTGTTAACCGTGGCATCCCTGATATCTCCTACAATGTACAGTAGATAACGAGTGTTGAAAAAATATTTGTTGAATGAAAGAATTAGTGAAAATATCTCAGTTTGAGGACTCAATCTCAGGTCAGTCTTTACGAAGCTGACTGTGGTATATTCACACAATGACATATTAGGCTGCAGTCAAAACAAATGAACTATAGTGACACAAAATAATATGGATGGGGCCAGGTGTGGTGGCTCACACCTGTAATCCCAGAACTTTGGGAGGCCGAGGTGGGTAGATCATGAGGTCAGGAATTTGAGACCAGCCTGGCCAACATGGTGAAACCCTGTCTCTACTAAAAATACAAAAATTAGCCAGGCATGGTGGCAGGTGCCTGTAATCCCAGCTACTCAGAAGGCTGAGGCAGGAGAATCCCTTGAACCTGGGAGGCGGAGGTTGCAGTGAGCGAGATAGTGCCACTACACTCCAGCCTGCGGGACAGAGTGAGACTCCATCTCAAAATAATAATAATAATAATAATTATAAGGATGATATTAGAATGTAATATTAAGTGAAAAAGTTAGTCCCAAAAGATTACATATAGCACA